TGGGTATGTTTCAGTAATTCAGGTTTTCTTATGAAAATCCATCATTTCTCTTTGTTTGGGGGAAAATCAAGGTGAAATGGAGAGCATAGATTTTGAAACTAGACAAATGCTGGGTTCAAATACTGAATATGATTTTTAATAGCTCAAAACAGTGGGGATATTATTCAACTTACTGATCATCTGTATATTCATCTGCAAAATAGAGATAATGATACTTTACAAGGTGGTGGTAAAGATGAAATTAAACTATACAGATCAAGAGATAGAGCCTGGCACTCTTTTGTCATTTAGCTGGAATACTGCAGGAGCACCTGGGTGGCTCAGTTGTTTGAGCATCTGACCCTTGATTTTGGCTCAGGTCATGATCCCAGGGTCATGGGATTGAGCCTATGTCAGAGCCTGCTTAAGATTCTCTCTCTCCCTCTGCTCCTCTCTAGCTGCCCCTCCCCCCTGACTTCTCTAAAATAATAACAACATATATTGCAGATACCTGAGATCAGTAAAGGAGAGATGAATTATTAATAAATTATGTTTGAGGGGTGGCTGGGTGGCTCAGTCAGTTGAGCATGACTTCGGCTCAGGTCAGGATCTCATAGTCTGTGGGTTCGAGCCCTGCATCAGGCTCTGTGCTGACAGCTCAGAGACTGGAGCCTGCTTCAGATTCTGTGTCTCCCTCTCTCTCTCTCTGCCCCTTCCCCACTCGTGCTCTTTCTCTCTCTGTCTCTCAAAAATAAATAAACATTAAAAAAATAAAATAAAATAAATTATGTTTCATCAAAATCCTAATCAATTAAGGATTTAAAAAAATTTCATGCTCTGTCTCTCTCTGTCCCAAAAATAAATAAACATTGGAAAAAAAAATAAATTAAAAAAAATAAATAAAAAAATCATGTTACACCAAAACTTCTAGATGCATTAGAAATTTCAACAGAGTGTGTAATATACTAGAAATAAAAGACAAAGACAATGCCAGGATCATAAACATGAAAAAAAAAAAAAACAATCTATCCACTTAACTAAATAAAAATATAAAATATTTATCAAAAGGCAATTTTTTAAAATTACCTGAGAGGGAAAGTTATATATAACACATTCAAGAGATAAAAATTTAATATACTTAATTTGTGATGAGGTCTTTCAAAGACCAACTCCAAGTTGAAAATAAGCAAAACTCAGACTAATTTACGAAAGAAGAAAATTGAAATGCTCTGTCAGCTAAAAAATTATAAATTTAAAAGACCTCTTTTTCACATTTCAGATCACCAAAATTTAAAACCATAGATAATACCCAGTGTTACAAAGAGCAGTGGAAAATATTATCTATCAAACATTGTTTAGGAGAAGTGTAAACTGACCTATCACTTTTGAAAGATGACGTAAAAAAATACACCAAAATTTATCATATGTTACCTCATTTACACAGGAATCCCACTTCTAAGTATTTAGCCTGAGGAAATAATTGTACTTGCAAAATACTTTATGAACTAAGATCCACATTATGGCAGTGCTAAAAATGTAAAAAATAGAAAATAAATGACCATTAATATGGCAATTATTGGCTAAATGTATTTATATGTATCTTTTTAAAACAATAAGAACGCCACCATGGAAGATGCTCATAATATATTAGACAGAGACATATGGCTGAAGACCATTTAAATCTATATGTTATGTTGGGGCGCCTGGGTGGCGCAGTCGGTTAAGCGTCCGACTTCAGCCAGGTCACGATCTCGCGGTCCGTGAGTTCGAGCCCCGCGTCGGGCTCTGGGCTGATGGCTCAGAGCCTGGAGCCTGTTTCCGATTCTGTGTCTCCCTCTCTCTCTGCCCCTCCCCCGTTCATGCTCTGTCTCTCTCTGTCCCAAAAATAAATAAACGTTGAAAAAAAATTTAAAAAAAATCTATATGTTATGATACTGTTTCTATGTGAAGAGATATGCTTCACTACTTATATATCTATAAACAAAAATTACATATTCTTTTTCCATGTTTTTACTGTTTGGAGTTCTAACAATGATTATTAGAAAAATAAATGTAATTTCATTTTGAAAAGTTAATTATGAATTTAGTTTCTCTTGTTTATGTTTAGTTTAAGTGCATATGTACAAATATTTTTAAGATAAAGGTGTATGAGTTTAAATATAACTCAGATTTTGAAGGGTTAATGTAATATAATCTCTTTACTGTTTATGTTTTAGAGTTAAATTTTATATTTAGATATTTTAAGAAACTTCAAACACTTTCATTAACCTACCCAAAAACTTCTTCCAACCAGCACTGTCATTTTGCTCATGCTATAGCCATACAAATGAAGGAGACAGAAAATGTTCTAGCTTTTCATATCCTAGAGTTTCTCTCAATCTCAATCTCTTCAAACTAGAAAGTCTGCTTTGAAATTTTTGACTTAAAAGTGTAAGATGGCTCAAGCCACTTTTACACTTTACAGATGAGGTGAAATTTTTCTTTTATTGTCATTACTGTTTAAATCATGTTGAACTCCAAAAACAATGTTAAAAATCAAGGCTGCCTTGTCTTTTAAGTTACCAAGCCAATACTCACATTTAGAGGATTTTATGGTGACTGTGTATGTAGGCATGTGTGTGTATTCTAGGGATGTGTACATGTGTATGTGTTGTGTGTGCATATGCATATGTATGTGTGTACCTTGTGGTGAATATGTGTGTGCTCGTGTGTATTGTATGTGCAAAGCCTATTAAGAGAGAATATCTTAAAAATTCGATACGTGCAGTGCATTTAAAATGAAGCAAATATTTAAGTTTTCCCATTTGCAAATAGTACTATGGATGATGAAAAGGCTGTAATCACAGATGGGCAACCACTGTAGGCTCAAGGTAAACAGCAGCAGCATCACCTCTCAAGTCAAGTTTATAGGGTAATTACATTTCTGAAAATTCAGGATCCAGTGTACTGTTAGACTGAAATTCAAATCGTGATCAAAGGATTTCATGCAAAACTGTTTACTCTAAAATGTTACAAATGAAAAAAAAAAAAAAGATAATGCTTAATTTTATACTAGAGCACCATAAAACTGCTTCTTCTAACTGCTTCCTTTCTTCCCCAAACTGAAAAGTCAACTCTAAGAGCACAGAACAACAACAACAACAACAAAACAAACAAAAAGCAAAACAAAAACAAAACAAAACAAAACATTCATGGTCTGAAAAAAGGATAAACTCAGTCTAAGAAGTGTAATACTGAAAATTGAAAAAACATGTTACATTTTTAATTTATTGTTATTATTTACTTTTTCGTTGCTCAAAAAGCTTAGAAGTCTTAAAGAAGTATGGAATAATTACATGTTTACCTTATTTTGTTTTTTTACATTTTTATTTCTTTTTGCATGTTCTTCTTTCTGTTTGCTTTTTATTCGGCTTTATGAAAGATAAAAAGAAGTAAATGTGGGATTTGCAAAATGATTAAACGGGTGAAAGAGGAATGTGTTTCTCTGATTCTTTTATGTTTTGTTCAGGTTTTCTTGTTTTCCTAGTAGTACTACTGTTTTATTTTATTTTGTTTTTTAAATGAAGTAGAAAAATAGGAGACTATAACTATAATCCTAATTTAAGGAAATAGTTAAAAATTTGTGTTGAAGAAGATTCTATTTTACTTCTGTGAATAATCTATTTTGTCTGGGTCATGTACAAACACACATATAAAAATATGGGATAAGAAGCTTAAGTATTAGAAAAAAACAAGCTTTATGTTACAAATCAAAAGGTATAAAACTATGCAAAGAATGCAGACTAAAAGGATAAATATTATTCAATAAAAACATGCATATTTTGATATATAATAAGATTTTACATTTCTTGAGTCTATGTGGAACAGAAGAAACAAAACCTCAGGTTGCAATAGGTTTTTTTTCTGCAAAAAGTATTTTTAAGGGTCCAAAACGGCTAAAATGTGAGTTCCTTACAAATTATGTCATACTTTATGAATTTTGCCACCCTGAACTGCCTTAAACACTTTCAGAAACAAGGTGGGGTACTCATAAGTAAAGTCATTATTTAACTTGGTAAACTGAAATATATAAGCCTCTTAAGAGTTCATATTTTTTTTAAATGTCCTTTACTATTCACTCACTTATAAATATACCTTTGTGACTGTTCCAATGGTCAGACCAAACCAATAAGACAACATCCAATAGCAAAACATTTCTTAGGGGTTGTGATTTTTAAAAGAACTGATGCATTATGACCACAGTAAGTATATGTATTTGTAACAGATCATCTAAATTCTGAGTCTTTTTATTTGATATTTATCATAAGTAAGGCAGACACACATGCTTAGCAGTGGCGCTTGTAGGATGTAGAAGAAAATAGTACTTAGTAGAAACACACAGAAGAATTAAATATTAATCATTGAAATATCAAAGTTTAAGATAGGAATGTATCATTATGTATCCATGAAAACATTATTTGCTTCTGTGTAACAAAGAAATGATGGAGTGAATCAGTAAGTGGCAAAATAAATGTAAAAAAGAAACAATGAACTGGCTACAGATGCATTTATGAAATGAACTTTCTTAACAGCCTCTTTTACACATTTCAGAACACATCTGCATTTTTGCCACCACCCCCCAAAGAGTAAATAGTCTGTTATCCCATGATACCAAATTCACTGAAACCAAAAAGCAAACAGAAAATTCAGTAGGGCAGATTTCCACAAACTGATCACATCCAAAGAATTACCCAGGATGCTTGTTAAATATTTAAAAGCCCCAGTTCCATTTATATCTATTGAATCTAAGTCTCCACAGGAAGGTTCTTACGATTGGGCAAGATTTGGAAGCACGCAGTATGTTATAAAAATATTCAATAGATTATAAAAAGTCACCCTATGCTGATTAACTACCCCCCTTCTTAAAGGTTGAGAAAAAGAGGGAAACAATCCTGTATCAGTTATTTTTAAGTGTTTGGTCCAACATAAAATGGGAGAAAATGTTCAAAGTTTCTGTTTTAACATCCAAATTATGTACTTACTACAGTTTTCAGCTTTTCTGTTGTCCCGGATCACTATTCTTTGGTTGATAGTGCTGAAGAGTGTTGTCCAATTAATGGTATGATAATAACATAGGTTGGTGTTGTCAGTAATATAGATGTTTCCTGCACTGATTTCCTTCAGGGACTGGAATTGTAGAGAAGTGATGCCCTGTTGTTTGAGGATAAGCAAGGAGAGGCCACTAAAGAGAGGGAGGGGGGAGAACAGAACAGTATTTATATGTATATATTAATAAATATTTTCTGGCCATGACTTACATTCTTGAAGTAAAATAAGGATGTCACATCTTACTCCAAAAAGAATGCAAATAGATCATAAAAAAGAGATTAAATCAATAAACTGTGACCTGAACATTATTTATTTACATGCTATATACCAAGTTTTAAAAGTAATCATTTGACCCCCAAAAGGAAAATGTTCATTTCTTGGAAGTATAAATATTAATGATATCTGTATATCTATTTACATACTTAGTACGAGTATATCTGCTCACTAGTTTCCTCACTATCCCCTAACCAAATAATTAAGAGCATCTGGCTGGCTCATTTGAAGGAGCAAACAGCTCTTGATCTTGGGGTTGTGAGTTCGAGTGTCACATTAGGTGTAGAGATTACTTAAATAAATAAAACTAAAAATACTAAATAATTAATAAATGTTTATGGAATGATTGTTCATCTACATCAAGTAAGACCTTAATTCTACTCCATTTAATAAATTTATATATGCTTTCAGAGGGTAAATATTGCAGAGAATGACCACAGATATTTAGCTTTAATTTATACCTCAGAAGCCAAAGTGTAATTGTAATAGTTGAAGAATGTATAAGTAAGGATAAGGGACATTAAAAATTGAAGAGAAGAATGAAATTAAGCTAAAAGTTAAAAAAAATACTCAGAAGGCTTGGACAACTGGGGAAAGCATCTCTAAAAATTAAGTAACAACTGTAGTGTGGAAACAAATTATCATTTCAAGGAAATTGTTTTACCATAGCCCACATTTTGTAATTAAGTTCGTTTTCCATTCTCTAAAGAATCATGTGTTTCCCACATTTAAATCAACTAATGAACAATATTTTACATTTTGGAGATCAAAGCTGTCCCCTTTTGTTTTATTTATAAATCTAAATATACTTTGCTGTCAACTCAGCTCAGAAGTTTTTCCATGCGTGTGTGTGTGTGTGTGTGTGTGTGTGTGTGTATATACATATATTATACATTATACATATATATACATATACATATACATATATTCTTATATCCATATCCATATATATATCCATATATATATTTGCCTTGAAAATAAGCTGATATATATATGTACGTATGTATGTGTATATATATATATGTATATGTATATGTATATATATATATATATATATTTAGTATGTGCATATTCAACTGAGATGTAATTCATTCTCTGAAATCTGTGCTCTCATCTTGTGCTGTTTATTACGGTGTGAATAATGCTTGACAGATTTTTAACATTTGGCTCAACAGATAATAAAAGTTGGTTGCATATAGCATTTGAATAGACTGTATCTCTCAACTATGCTTTTTTATTAAGTACTTTTCCCCTTTATAGTGTAAAACCTCTTACAGATATACCAGTTTTAATAGCAAAATTCAATAATATTTCTGTGAAATATTATTACAGAATATTTGATGATAATATTGATTTGAGGCATCTTTCCTTTTTAAGCAGAAAAAACTAAATCCTTTTATGTAAGTCAACTTTTAACTGTTCATAAATAAGAATCTCATACAGATGAAATCTGAAAAAAATAAAGCAGTGCCTTAATAAATATTAACTCATTCATTTTTACTATGTGAATAAAAATATTGATATTGGGCCTTTAGAACAGTGTCCTTCTGAGCCCTGATTGTTCTGTCCACTTTTTTTATTTAATTTTTTTTTCAAAGTTTATTTATTTTTGGGACAGAGAGAGACAGAGCATGAACGGGGGAGGGGCAGAGAGAGAGGGAGACACAGAATCGGAAACAGGCTCCAGGCTCTGAGCCATCAGCCCAGAGCCTGACGCGGGGCTCGAACTCACGGACCGCGAGATCGTGACCTGACTGAAGTCGGACGCTTAACCGACTGCGCCACCCAGGCGCCCCATGTTCTGTCCACTTTTAACCTGCATTGCACTTAGACTGGTGAGCCAAATCCTGAAATATCAGCCCTGTGATGCATGGTTCAAACGCTGGCACCAGAAACAGAACAAGAGCCTTCTGGTGAAACAGCATGTGTAACCCACACATGTAAGCCAGTCCCAAGTCATCCAATGCCATTTTTTAGTTATAATAACACATGTTTGGAATAAAAACATTTGATTTTATGGGGTCCTATTATGTACTCCATCCTACAAAACACTAATAATTGTTTTGAGTGATAAGGAGTTGAAACTCAAACTGCTTATTCTGCATACTTTATTTATTTATTTATTTGGTATCCTCCATACTGTAAAGCGCAGTCGGGGTATTTATCATTAGGCTTACCTTTGGAATTAAAAATGGAAACCCAATATTTGTAGAATAAATATAAAATAAAGGAGGCTGAAACTGTGACATACGTATGCATGATGCTACTTTTGAAATATGAAATACTTGTATCTCTGAACATATAAACACCCACCTGTAGAGTACTCTTCCACCAATGGTCACCAGGTTAGAAAAAACACTGAAGTCAGTCATGTTTGGAGGCCATGACTGTATGTTCAAGAAACCTAAAAAGATAAGGGCAGTAAAAAAACAAAACAAAACAAAACAAAACAAAAACCCAGAAACTCAGAATATCATTGCCTTAGTAACCATATTTAATACTGATTATTCTTGAAATACGGTTAAAATGTATCGAAAGATAGGAGGTAAAAATAAAAACACTCAATATTCCTATTTTGAGTCATTCTATCTCCTATTTCTTCTTCCGAGATTGAGAGCCTTACTCAAAATTCCCGGGCCAACAATACTCCATATAATGAATATCAAACTAATGAGCCAAAAATCTAGGTTTCTCAGACACATGGAATCATAGAACTATACATATTAAAAGATTTCAATTATTCTTAATTTGAAACATTTTTCTAAAATCAAAAAACTTAGTCCAATTAGATAAAGAGAAAAATACAGCTTTAATTTTTCTGGAAATCCTTTCCTACTTTACACTTATAACACCATTTGTCTACATTGCATCCTAATGCATTCATGTATATATTTAACCTTTCTCATTTAATTTGCCATTCTTTGACATAAATTCATATCCAATTTATGTCTATGAATCCCCTATCAGCTAGTATATAACAGCCCTGAACATATTAGGTGCTCAATAAAATATGTGCTAAATGAATGCTCCATGTCATCCGTGCCCAACAGTACTTGTGAAAACTAAATAGCAAAACATGGATTCAAAGACCAGTTGACAACAAAAAAGTAACACAAAAATTTCAAGGATATTTTATTTTATAAATTCCATGGGCTTTCCAAATGTGCACAGATAACATTTCAAATAGCATGAATTTTTAAAATTAGAATTGGCCTTGAAAATAAGTTGATTTCAATATCATGTAGTATTTTCAACAAAACACTAACATTCACAGAGTTCCTAGCACAGCAATCACACTTTTGAAACTTACCTGTTATCTCTCGAACGGTCCGAAAGACATTCAGTTTCTCTGGGTCTATGGCTTCAATTGCATTGTAAGGGTCCCTAGAGAATCAAGAAGAGACACAGCCAGATTTTAAATTACATAAAGGAGTGAAAACGTAAGAAATTGTGACTATAGTTATTGCACTCAAATTCAATTTTAAGTAGCAGTAGAAAGCTTAGCAATGTCTTGTCCAGTTTTCCACACTACAGAGGGAGAAGGATTAAAAGGTGCTTTGAGGACCTTTTTGATGATATGAGCTCTTTGTTGAAGGCTCTTCTAGACCTAGACAAATGGTCCAGGTTGACTATCCTAAAGAAGTCTCCAAATAGAACAAATCCATTTATAAACAATTTTATTTCATTTTGCCTTTTAAGGTTGTTCTTAATTAGGAAAAATACACTCTGTGAATAACTTATGGTGAGAACAACTGCCTTTTGGGCTCCTCAAAGCATTCTAAATTGCTAACAGCACCTACAATTTCATTAAATGGATATTAAAAAAGATGAAGTCAAATTTTTCTTTTTTGCTGTATCCTTACATTTGTTAGTGAATTTTTATAACATTGTATGAAAGTTACTCTTCATAAGGATTATTTAGAGCAGTCTTGTTCTTATCCGGGTTATTCATATTTGCTTTCATAAAAACAGGAAATACTTGCTTCCGTATTTATGAATCATACTAACATCTGAAATAAAATTTATAAGAAATTTAATAATATCCCAAAGGTGTAAATTTTGGAGATTTAAAAAATACCATTTCCTAATGCATAAATATATTTTGGCAATTAATGTTATTGACATATAGATGCCCAGGCTTTTAAAAATATGAACATAAGATACCCTTTAAAATTAAATATTTAATGGATTTTTTCAGAAGTTTTCTTCTTAGGAAGATGCCTTTCATGTATAATATACTGAACATTCAAAATAATTACAAACTTGAATCTTAAACATAAACACAATACCAAACATTTCTCAGTAATTCAAGTAATACCTTATGCTGTTTTAAGGAATACATTTTATTTTTAAGTTTTATTACTTTGAAAGACAACCTTGGAAATCCTGGGCAAGTAGAGACCTCATATCACTATATACCCTTCAGAGAAAAATTATATTCATTGACCACTTCTCAAAAAAAAAAAAAAAAAAAAAGAAAAGAAAAGAAAAAAGAAAGCAAATCTAAGAACAATGAACAGGTTTTCTTAGAAGCATGTATCCACCTGTAGCAATCAAATGAGTTTCATTCTTGCTGTGTACATCTGTTGTTTTACATCTTTGAGAACCTTCTTTTTTATTTGGGGAGTAAACAATTGGATAGAGTGATATATTGGATGCAGCCTTAATAGGGCTATCAATCAAGGTGCTCCACAAACAGATAGGCATATGGTCTATCTTAGGAATCTGAGTCTAAACCTACAGACATTTATTCATCTTAGCATTAGAGCCTTAAAAACACTATTAGCTCCAGTAACCTTGATCTCTGGAACCCCATTGTACTGGCTCTCTCAACTTGGTTCATCTGGGTATGCTCCTATACCACGAAGCATCCTATATCTTAAAAAACAAACAAACAGGCAACTACAGAAACTCTGCTTGCTTAAAAACAGTTTCAAACTAAGAAGTGCAATTGACACAACATAATACTAGTTTAACAGGGAGTGTTATGGAAGGCTTGGAGAAACACTGTAGTTTCCCCCATAACTCACACATAATTAAGATTTTCCTCAATGTGATATGAATGTCTCTCAAAAGCTTAAAGTCTAAATTAAATGTTCTGGTACACTTGTTCTATTTATAAATGAAGATACATTGAATGAATAACTATGCTTTTGCTGAATATGAAGCCAAAAAATTAGTTCACCATGGGGGAAAAATCTTGTTGTTACCATTTTTTAATGTGCAAAGACTTCTGTACGTAGACGTATCAGATCTGCAGTAGAATAAGCTTTCAACATTTGTTCTCTGATGGAAGGCAGTGTATAGAACAGCTCTGGTCATATAATCAAATATCTTGGCTTTATTGAGAAACACTCAAAATTCAGGGCAAGCACACAATAATGGGGTCAGTCCAAACCTATACTGAGAACACTTCTAAGTTGCCAGGAATGAAATGAGTTCTGGAATGTTCATATGAAGCCCAATGGACCACAGAAATTTTATATACTTAATTTGAGAGATTCAGGACTCTCATAAAATAAGTTGACAGAATCCTACTTACCAACTTCAAACTACCTACAGGGAGTTGCATCTTATAGCCACTTGAAATCCATAGTGCTTTAAAATCAAGAAATTCCCTAGCTAAATTCAGAGCCATGTGAACGAACATTATGTCCACCCTGTCATTGTATTTGGTGATCCAAAATAAAGCTCAGGATAGAGAGAAACATATTTTTACAATTCCACTGAAATTGCTTTATTTTTCACTAAACCCATTATCTCTTTTCCATTGTTTATCATCATGATACTGTATTATCTAAGCACTTCGTGTCTGTGTCTCATTGTGACACAGCATGAACATGCTTATTTGGTGAGCATTTTGTTACTCTAAGTACATGCACATGACCATTGTCAAACATGACAAAAGATGGAAGGTGAACATTCCTATGGATAACACTGATCACAGGTTTGCCTGTGGTTCCCATTCTAAATAAAAGAGCAAGAGTGCCTAGTCTATTTCTGGCAATAGCACTATTGTGCTAAAACATGCCAATTAAGTTTCTTGAGTTCTTGAGACACCTGGGCGGGGCAGTCAGTTAAGCGCCTAACTCTTGATTTAGGTTCAGGTCATGATCTCACGGTCATGAGATCCAGCCCCGAATCAGGCCCTGTGCTGAGTAGGAGCCTGCTTGGGATTCTCTTTATTCCTCTCTCAGCCCCACCCCCCCAAAACTAAGTAAATAAAAATTAAAAAAAAAAAAAACTTTATTGAGTTCTTTTATATATTAAAATTTTAATTGACAAATTGACAGTAAGCTTACTTATTGCAGAAACTTGTTTCTGAAAAGTATAATCTCATTTAGTTATGATTTTTGCCTATTTACTTTTAAAAATTTTTTTTAACATTTATTTATTTTTGAGACAGAGAGAGACAGAGCATGAACGGGGGAGGGTCAGAGAGAGGGAGACACAGAATCTGAAACAGGCTCCAGGCTCTGAGCTGTCAGCACAGAGCCTGACGCGGGGCTTGAACTCATGGACCATGAGATCATGACCTGAGCCGAAGTCGGCCGCTTAACGGACTGAGCCACCCAGGCGCCCCTTACCTATAAGTTTAAAGAAATACCTTAGCTATTTTACCCAAAGCATACATGAATTTAAATTAAAAAAAAGAGAGAGAGGGAAGATTGAAGGTAATAGGAATTGAGGCAAAACATGTCTTTAATTTACTAGAAGGTTTTTACATAAAGGACTCCATGTTACTCACATTTAAAGTCTCTCTCTACATGCACACATTGTATGCATGAATACACATAATGCCTATACGTTTATAAGATGTCTTAGGCTTACTGAATTAACTTTTTATCAGTACTTTCCTAAGATTAAGAGAAAGGCTTCAGAATATATGTTTCATACTGGCATGAGACTGGGAATGAGAACTATCACATATCACATATATATTTGTCCTGGAAATCCCTTATGTATTATACTTGAGACATAACACTATTAATTATAATGTTAATATTAAAATATTCCAAGCTATGTACTATTATTAAGAAGAAATAATAATCTTCTGAACTAAGGGATATGACTTATTGCCATGAAAATAACTTTGTCTTTATTTGTTTTTCAATAGTCTACAAAATAATCTGTTACACTGTATGTTGTGCTATAAACTGGATATAGTCATTGAGATTTTTGTTTAGCACTGCCTTCTTGGTTATTTTCTTTCTCTCTCCCCTTCCTCTCTCTCTCTCTCTCTCTCTCTCTGTCTCCTTTTTTTTTTTTTTTGTACCATTTAATGTTTTACAAATATGCCAGGTACTTGACTAAGCACTTAAAAATAATTTTTGTTTTTAAGCCCTACAACAACCAGAGAAGGTAGGTATTTATTTTAATCCCTACAACATCCAGAGAAGTTTATTTAATAAACTCAACTCTCAACTTTACATAAGAAACTGAGCATTTGACATATTATGGAAGCCACGTAACTCAGTAAAATTGTCTACAGTGATTCAACTCAGTCTAGTCTGGATCAAGTTACTGAAGAAGGAAATTTAACTCTTACTTTCTGAGCTCATTTTTTAGGAGAGGTTTTGTTTACCATTATATTTTCAATCATGTGAGTCAATTTTCTATAATTCATTTTCACCCGAATCAGTTAGCAAGGTTGTTTCCCTTGAAAGTCAGGATGCATCTAGTATTTTGTAATGATTCTTCTCATAAATTTGTGGATATATGGCATCTATTGTGCAATATATGTTTTTTATTGTGCAATATATTTTTATATCTTGACATATCTGCTTCCCTTTTTTCCCATTTCTTTATTAATATTTACTCTATTCTAGATGTTAGGTCATTCAGGATATGTAAAATCATTTTACAATTAGTATAAATCCAGTCTTTTGATAAATATGCTCCATAAGGAGCCAAAACTAAAATAACAATTCCGAACTGCCCTAGATGGTCTTTTAAACCTCCCCATGCATGGTTTATCTGTAAGATTAACCATCAGTTGGTGCTTTTGTTGGTTTCATTATCCTTCTATACTCACAGAATTATTGCTGTGGTTCTCAATGGGGGCAATATTACCCTACTGAAGGGAAGCTGGGACATTTGTAGAGGTGTATTAGTTGTGACAGATTAGGGGACACTACAGGCTTTTAGTAATAACCCCAAGCACCAAAAAATTAAAGTCTCCATCACAGAAAAGGTTTGCCTTATGTCTTGAACAACCTTAAAATGTCCCACCCAATTAAGGACTCATGTGCACAAACTTCATAGCTGATCATACTTTGACTGTGTGTAATTCTGTATTCATGTTGCCTCTATTTCAATGATATTTAATTCCATCTTCCCCTTGCATATAACAAATATGTCTGTTACTTATTACCTATTTCAGTGGTCAGCTGTTCCTCTGCTCTTTATTTCCCCATACTTCTGGCACAAAATGACTTCTATTCTTATTTCTAATAAATCCAAACTTTCTTTACAAAGTAAAAGCGAGCATTTTCCTATCAATACATATTTTATTATACATTACTTTTGTTGTATTTCTTTTTTTTTAATTTTTTTCAATGTTTTTTATTTATTTTTGGGACAGAGAGAGACAGAGCATGAACGGGGGAGGGGCAGAGAGAGAGGGAGACACAGAATCGGAAACAGGCTCCAGGCTCCGAGCCATCAACCCAGAGCCTGACGCGGGGCTCGAACTCACGGACCGCGAGATCGTGACCTGGCTGAAGTCGGACGCTCAACCGACTGCGCCACCCAGGCGCCCCTGTATTTCTTCTTTAAATTACAATTGGAGAATTATAATCACTTAATAAAATTATTGATATAGGTAGGCTATATTATCTATGATTTTTATTTCAGAATTCAAAAGGAAGTATGAAAATACTATGTATAAGATGGATGTTGCACCTAATTAGAATGAAAACAACTTTTCTAGTGCAATTTATGACCTTATATTTTCAAATATTTCCCCACACTGATGGACCTGAGGCCAATTCATTTATTATGCCCATGTTAAAGCAGGCAACGTGAATTAAGTGGGTATGTCTTCCTATTTCTCAGAAGATGCTGTTAACATGATATGATCTTTCATTCATGGTGATATGTGCTTTTGAAAATAGTTACAATGAGGATATATTGTTTTAGTAAATGTCATACATGCATTCAATTATATAGGTGCACTTAAATGTAGACCCAGGTCTCCTACCCAGTAGGGCCACGGAGGTGAGGATAGCAATGCGAATGGGTTCGAGGGTCAGTAGCAACTATGGTAAGTTTGGTTATCCCATCTCAAAATGGCTAGAACTGGGGCACCTGGGTGGCTCAGTTGGTTGGGCGACCAACTTCAGCTCAGGTCATGTTCTCACAGTTTGTGAGTTTGATTCCCACGTCAGCTCTGTGCTGACAGCTCAGAGCCTGGAGCTTACTTCAGATTCTTTGTCTCTCCCTCTGTCTACCCCTCCCTTGCTCACACTGTGTGTCTCTCAATAATAAATAAACGTTAAAAAAATTTTTTTAAATAGCTAGAACTACACAGCTCCAACAGATTGTTGCCATATAGGAGGATGTGCTAAGGGTAACCAAGTCTACATATTTTAAATGAGAAGTTAGAAATCTTGATGATATATATTTATTTTGTAAACATTGTTTGGGCTGAATATAACATACCTGGGGCAGAAAGTGTGGACATACCATTACAGTATCTGGCATGAACCCATATTAAAAGCTACATTTTAAAGTAATGGTTTATGCAATAAGATCTACTATAATTTATTTGTATGGAAAGAAATACTTTGTTCTATTTCTCTCACTTTTCCTATTTGGACACATTTATCCATGATGTGTTAAATTATTTTGCTTCTAGAAATGATGTGATATATGTTTAGAGTTAAGATTTTGAATTGAAATATGTGAGTAATATTCTTTATCTGTAGCCTGTAGCACTAATATTTAGGGATTAAGAGTAATATAGATAAATAGATAAAATATAAAGTAAAAATATTGACATTTTTATTACAATTGAAAAAATACAAACTTGGTTGTTTTCCCAGTTAAAATCAGCAGGTGGTTCTGTAATGAAGGAGCCAAGAAAATGTTACAATTTTTATTGCTAAAATGAAATTCATTTAATAGATTTCGTATAATAATACTAATTTCCTAACCTAAGGAAAGAGAAAAAGATACATCAAGGCAAAGAGAATTTCTAAAAGTTTAAGAGAATTTCAACTTACTGATTTGTTTTCTATGAGAGATTTTTTTTTTAATTTTTGTTAATGTATATCTTTATTTTTGAGACAGAGAGAGACAGAACATGAGCAGGAGAGGGGCAGAGAAAGAGGGAGACACAGAATCTGAAGCAGGCTCCAGGCTCTGAGCTGTCAGCACAGAGCCTGACGCAGGGCTCAAACTCATCAACTGCGAGATCATGGCCTGCGCTGAAGTTGGACGCTCAACCGACTGAGCCACCCAGGCGCCACTCTATGAGAGACATTTTAAAAGAAACATTAAGGGAGCCTGGGTGGCTCAGTTGGTTAAGCATCTGACACTTGATTTTGGCTCAGGTCATGATCTCATGGTTTGTGAGTTCCAGCCCCACATTGGACTCTGTGCTGGCACCATGGAGCCTGTTTGGGATCCTATCTCTCCCTCTCTCTCTGCCCCTCCTTGAACTAATCAGTTAGAGTCTGAATGAAATTCCTCACTGTACCCATTGATACAGTTTCCCTAAGCATATCTAAAAATATGGCAAGCTTTCTGAAATTTGTAGATTTGAGGAGAATGTCCTACAAATACATTTTAATAAATATATAAATGTATATTGTCAAATATAAGTAGTTACTAAACTCATAGTCTGAATATACCTCAAAACTGTGGTTTTTACTATCACTGATGGTAAAATCTGGCATTTGACTTTGCTGGAGAGGAGCATTAATGTTGGGCCAAAAGGAATCAAACAGACAAAGCTAAAGAATCCTTTAAGCTTTGTCTACACTTTATAAAATAATTTTCTGCAAAAATTTAATACTGACCCATGAATACCAGTGACAAGGAAGATCAAATTCCCATTGATTTTGGTGCAGTTTATGAATTTGTCAATGTTACTGGAATCCACGGTCTGAGCTGACATCAGTGATCCTGTGCCAATGCCATCACAAGCTGTAGAAACAAGACTCACAGTCAAGAAGGTGAGAAACTTTGATCTCAGTCAAGAAATCATTGCATTTTTATTATAAAATAACAGTTTTTTTCAATTATAAAATGGAAAAAAAAAGTTCATCATAAGAAATAAACTGTTTTCTAACATAAAATAATCATTCATTCATGCAACATTTACTGATGGGCCTACTTTAAAATATTGTCCCTGCATTATAGTCTAGTGACCATGACTCATAAAAATCATATCTTATATCAAGTCCCAGTATACCCACACAGCACATACATAACTAAAACAACTTTTAACAATCAACACTAGCCCTTGCCACATAAAGTCAACTATTTTCTCATCTGTTCTAAGATATTATTTTTAATACTTTTAAATCACTTGAGGAAAATTATTTCATGGCCTAATGATGGTCTACAACCTGTGGTTTTAAAAATATTGGTCTTATTAAGAATATATATTAAACAAAGTACTAGTGAAATGAGTTGTAATCAGAATCAAGAGCCATTTAAGTATTTACATTTAAATTCTTAAATTGAGTGTTACCTACACTTTCTGAGCACTACTTAAAGACAAAACAAAACAAAGTATGTGTATTTGTGTGGGTGTGTGGAGAGGGTGAGGGGGGAGAGAGGGAGGGAGGGAGGGAGAGAGAGAGAGACAGAGGAGAGACAAAGAGAGAATGTAGTCTAAAAGTAAGTCTGAAGTTTGCCCTTTTAAAAGGCACTTTTTGATACTTTGGAAAGCTTAATATCGTTCAGAAAATTTGGACTCTACTTTCATCCTGCTTAATTTAAGTTTCATTCTGGTAAGGAATTTGAGTACTGCAGCTAGAAGGGATTTCTTTCTCCACTAATATTCTATGACATGGATTATCTGCAACATTTATTTAATACTTACAGTAAACTTTCTTGTCATTTTATAATCTCTCAAGATAGTTTTGAAGACCTGGAGAGTAAATATCATGTTATTTGTCCCTTTGCACCCCTTCATATATACAGCAGATCATTTAGCGTAGAGTGGCAAGCGACTAAGATGGGTTCTTGATGCCAAAATAATCATGTGATCCCTTGTTATATGCATACTTCTAAGATCTGCTACATATAGAACAAAACAACTTTTTTCCTGTGTTTCTATCAAAGTGCAGTCTGCATTTTACCTGCATCATTTACTATAGATCATTCAAAATCAATAATACACACTGTTGAGACAGTTAGTACTTTGGGGAACTATTCAAAGCCCTGGGAAAGTGTGTGAGGGAAGGTTTGGTATGGGAGTGATGTGTTCAGAGAAGCGAACTTAGCTGGTCCATTAAGAAGTACAAGGAAAAACCTTGGTGTAGGTCCCAGTTCTAGCCAAAAATAATCTCAGCTGTCACTCACCTTTTGGGCAAATATCAGTGCAAGGTTTACACATTTTAATCCCATTTTCTTCTACTTCCATCTTGGAACTAGGGCAGGCACGCACACAAGAACTGGAATCCACCACAAAGTTATCTGATTTTAAAAAAGGTAAAATGAGCAATAATGGTGATGCTAAGCAAACAACTTTAAAATAAGGTATTTTAGGGCTTGACAATGATTGGCATCATTGGTAGTATACACGTCTCTTTCCTTAAAACATCTCCGTTTAAATATCTCAGCCTGAAATAGAATCTATGAGCATCCACATTCAAATCCAAGGGCAGCATGTGTTAACAATGGTTAGTACTTGCTTGATTACTGCTCCACATCCTGAATTGCCCCCAAGATAGAGAGAATTTCTTTTATAGACATAGGAAACTACATGACATTTAGTTTGTGTTTTTCAATAGTTCCACTTCATTTCATGTCATGATGCAAGTTTGAAGCCTAAAAATACTTCAAGTTACATGAGGCACAAATGAAGCTGAAGTTGAATTGCCTTGGATCAAGAAAGTGCACTTCATATCCAGGAGGAAATGTTTAAAATGTGTTCTATCTTTCAGTGGAATGTCATATAAACTGTTCCCTAGTTTTATATGAAGAAACAAAATGGGATTTGAAAGGCAGCATCTTAGGAAAGGTATACTAAATAAACCAGGTATATACAATTACCTGACACAGTGGTAAAATGTTTAGGGGTCCAGTGATCTGGAATATGCCATGACATTGTCTCCTCCCAAAAAAAGAACAAATCATTGCATCGAAAGCCTCCCACAACAAAGAGAAAACACAATACCTGCTAGGCCACTTTATATTTCAAAGGCAGTATCCTTCCATATCTGGGAATACTGCTTCTGGCCTGATATTCAGTGGTATGGAAGGCTTTTGGCCTTGAAGGGGGCTCAGATCAGGAAAGGCATATCGTGCAAGTCCAGTCTGGGATGCAAGCAATTATGCGACTTGGGTAATAAAACCCAAGAGGCTATCGGTAGTAGGAGTGTCTGTTGTGGGAAAATAAGTCATGTGGAGTTATGGCACGTCCCAGCTGGAAAATCATATTGAGACCTCCACAATTCTATAGCTAAGCCACACAATCTGTAGCACATAATCGTATGCTATTTAATACACAACTCCTGATATGCTTCTGGCTCCTGGTAGAGATAGAGCACCTAACCATGGGTCATTGATTGACCTTCTAGTCAGAATTACCCATCACAGGGGCACCTAGGTGGCTCAGTCAGTTAAATGTCTGACTCTTGATCTCGGCTCAGGTCATGACCTCCTGGTTCATGAGTTCGAGCCCACGTAGGGCTCTGCAGTAATAGCACAAAGCCTGCTTGGGATCCTCTCTCCTTCTCTTTGACCCTCCCCAACTCGTGCTCACTCTCATTTTTGCTCTCTTTCTCTCCCTCAAAATAAATAAATAAACTTAAAAAAATTAAACAAAGGTTTGCCCATCATGCATCAGGTTTTATTAGAACCATGATGTCATAATGTTGGCCATGTTCAACAGGAATCTACCCCAAGATAGAAGCAGTATATTTAAGATTGGATGTGAATCATGGCAGAGGCATAAGTAAACACATAAGCAGGTAGCCCAGACTCCTCGTGCTGGCACCTCTCACTCAGCTCATACCTATGTCTGCGTGGGGGCCAAAAGAGGGCACTTGTGAGAGTTAACAGACGAAGACAAAAATTAAGTTTGCTATGTGGGTGCAAGCCGCTCAAAATGAATGGCAGTGGCCCTGCGGCTCACTCAGGAGCAGACTTGAAAGACAGTGGCAAGGAAAAAACCTACCAGTGGGCATAGTTCTGGATAGTTCAGATGATCACTTACTTTGTGCGGAACACACAGTAAGTATGGACTTGCAGTAAGTATGGACTCATGAGCAGTAGTTTGCCATGGGAGAAGAAATATTAGGAAGTCTGGGACTGAAGGAAGTCTGCGGCGGAGGGATGTATATGAATCCATGGGAGTGGGCAGTGAAGATCTTTGCATTCCCAGTTAACATCCACCAGAGGGCATCCACCACAACAGAAGGCACATTGTTGACACTGCATTGCAGCCTGTTCCCTTCCTTCTCTATATCCTTCTGTAGTCATTCTGAGAACACTCCTCCTTAAGAACCCAATCTCTGTGTGAGGAGAACCAAGCCTGCAACATCTGAATACACTGCATATTATGTGGCCATCCTTTCTGCAAGGTCTTCAGAAATACCCCATATTTAAACACCTCTACAGTTTTGCAGCGATATATATCAAGTGGAGTAAATACAAAGTATAAAAACCCTCATATCAGTCAGGTACAGATTTTGCAGCCAAACGAGTTGCAAAAAATATTTGTCTGTAATTTTTGAATGTTAGAATTCTGGGTTGGAGATTGTGGACCAGTATTTAAAAGCTAAATGTCTTTGTTTTCCCAAAATAGTTCATGCCTCATGAGCAGGGCCCTACAAATATTTGAATTTTACATAGATAAATACTGAAGTGTTTTTAAATCAGTCTGTAATTTGATTGACCTAAACTATTCCAAGGAAGGAAATTTATGAGGTATCTAAGGAAACTGGGCATGTAATTTCACAAAATAGTTCTCCACTTGCCACAATTTAGGTGTTAAAAGCTTATATGCATAACTATTCTTTTAACCAATATAAAAGTATGTAATAATAATGATGAGAATTGTCATTGTTTTCAAACACTTGTTTTTATATACTGTCCCTCTGATTCTTTTTCCCCAAACCTTTGATCATTATAATAACTCTAGGAAAGACAGAACCATGATTATTACTATCCACCTCGTAAGGAGAATACAGAAAACTAAATAGTTCATTTAAAATCACATAAGTAATAAGTGCGCAGAGCCAGAAACCATAACCACTCTAATCCTATGTCCTTCACACTTCCTATTCAATCACAGACACAAAACAAGAAAACATAATAGCGGTATGATGTAGATTGTAAAACCTTCTTCTTTTAAATGAGTATGTGGACAAATGTAGTCATTCTTTTTCTTAGGTAAAACAATGAAGAAATAATGTCCCATTGCTCACTCTGGAGCAAACGTGAAGACATACATTATACTGAATTCTTGATGAAAGTGAAGCTGGTCACTTGGAATTCCCAGGATGAGTTATCAATTTTGTAAAGATCTGTCAACATGCCCTTCACATCTATTGTTATTGTTTAAGATTAGATTTGATATTAAAACTATCATGCTACACAATCTATTACAAATAAGTAATCAGAAATGATATTAGGTAAAAATTCATTGTGATTAGAAGCAGACCTCATTCATTACAAAGCTTGCTGGCACTTAACTAATCACTTTTTTGAGAAACAGTATCATGTACAAATACACTGAGGTATAGTGAAAACAGTGAGCTTAGAAGGCAATGACACTACATTCTAACTTTAAGCATGACACTCCTTTGCTGAGACTTTGGACCAATCACTTTAATTTTTTGAACTTTAATTTTCTTATTTGTGAAATGGTAGCAATAGGACCTAAATCCAAGTATATCCAACAATGTTATTGCAAGTTTTAAATTACAATAAATCTATATGAAATTTTTTGGTTTTTAAATGATGATCTCATTAAATTGGCTATTCTCATCTTGTTACTTACGTGGGCATTTCTTGACACAAAATGCTCCATATGTATACTTTGCATTGAAGTTATGTTCCAGCTGAAAGGTGGTTGGATTGTAGACAAAAGTTTGGGGACATTGAGTAACACACGCTCCACTGTCATTGAAATTCATGCAGGCCTGCAACATAGCAAGTATTAATTTCATCTAAAAATAACCTTCATAACTTGTTAAAAGAACATTGCTGTAACAGCTTTGTGAGAAGGATGTATTCTTTATTATTATATTTATATTTTTACACACGTGTTCTATACTTATTTCACAAAAAGTATAAAATTTGACACTTTTTGGTCATTAAGTGCTTAGTGTTAAGTTCTAACTTGTTTTGGACTTCTAAAATTTTATAAAACTGGTTTTCCAGTGCCAATGAATATACCATCTCTACAAAGTTATTGATGTTCAAGTTACTTAGTCTCTGTCCAGTGGTCTCCAAATTAATAATTGGTTTAAGTTATTAAAATTAGCTCACAGTGAAAAAAAATTTTGACTCACACCATTCAAAGTGTTTATGCGGAGTCTCAGAGTCTGGCACTGGCAACTGACTTCCCAATTCTACAATCTAGATTGTCCTTAAAGCTGGTATTTGGAAAGTTCAGTGCCGGAAGCAGCATGAGAAAGTACATTGGTCATCACTGTGTGGTGAGGAAACATTGGTGAGGAGCCATTTACACTGGACTTGAAGAAAAGGTTTTGGAAGGTGACTAGTCCGTGTAAATACAGAGTATTTGATGCTGAAATGAAGGGAAGCAGACATACTTAGCTCATGATTAAATAATGTGCTGCCATTTCCTGTGTGGCTTTCATCATAATACCACACCATTTAGTAAAAGCCATCAAGTTCAAATAAAACAGTTTGTTTCTGCTGACTTACCTATTTGCATTGAGACTTCATTTGTTAATATGTTCAAATGCATTTGATAAGAATTAAAAACAATTTTGCCACCTGAGAGGTATTTGATATAAAATATATGTAACGTACATATACATACAAATTATACACACACACACACACACACACACACACACACACACACACACACATATATACACACACACACACACACATACAAACATGCCTTTCAAAAGAGTGGATGAACTAATTCTCTTAATTGAACAACTTAAACCTTCAGAGGAATAATTTAGGCCTTGGAAGGTAAGCTCATATGAACTCTAGCTATATTTTATATTTCATCATAAATTGTATGTATGGTTATTAATAAGCACTAATTCATTTTGTTTCTTCAAAACATTTTCTTCATCAATTGTTGTTTTAGCAAGTGCTTCATCACAAACATGACAATTCCCTGACAATGGCCTACTAGATGCATAATCAGAACGAGACTCACTCATGATACATTATTCACTACGATGACATTTTCCAGGAAGAATCTATTAAAAAGCAATCAGGAAAACTCAGTGAGTTTTAATTTATGGCTATAAAACTTCATGTGTCCTCATAATTGCTTTACGAACATACTTTATGCAGTGTTGTGCACAGACTGCTTGGCAACAAAGGGACATAAACCAGAGGAATCAAACAAATTTACCTTCCAGACTGCACACAAAACAACGGAACTTACACCAAGGCCTCGGTCTGGCATTCTTGAACATTCTGTACCAAATGCCAAAGTGGAGTCATTGGACCATTCCATAAAAGTAATGAAATGAGAATTCTAAGGCTCACCAGGCACTCTGCTTATCATGATAATGGAACCATGAAAGAATGGCTATCGTTTGTGTTTCTTGTTGTTACTGCTTTGGAATTGTTACTATAACACCTGTTCAGTGTCCCCCGCCTCAGGCTTTACCCCATATCAAGTGATAGGCAAGGGAAAGCATCTCACTTCAAAACCTGCTGAGCATCCTCCTTAAATTTTTGACATTTTTCTTTTCTTTACTTCTTCTTCCCTACTCACTTCTGCAATATATACTTTTGTTTCAATATAGGATTAGGGTAGAAAAATTAAGTTTCTTGTAACATTAAGAAAATTAAGAAATGACTATATCATAAGAGGTTTAATTTATGTTTTGCCTATTTTCAGAGTTGTGTCATTTAAAAAATGTTCAATTCTTAATATATATGTGTATTCTCTGGATATTTCAGAATAGGAAAAAATGAATATCTCTGTTCATTGTTAATAGCAAAAACAATTACTTATTTTATTATTTTTAGCATAAAATGAAAACAATGTCTGTGTTTATGAAATTGTGGTAACTATAGTTCACAGAATTGTCTGTATTCAAAAGAGCAGAAATAACTGTATTGGGGATATTAAAATGTAATTAAAACATGTCCCCAAAAAGCTATAAATGTTAATTTTAAGGAAAGAAAACTGTCCTTTTCTAAAATAAAAATCACACTGATTAGCATATAAATTGCTTTAAGCATGAGTTTGTAAATCTTATAAATTTTGAATAATATTAACTTGTAAACAAAATATACTGGGAAATAGTTAAATGAATAAATTTATGAATAATCTTGAAATCAAGAGCTATAATCTTGAAATTTAAATTCAGGAAATAAAATTCAAGAGCCCCCACTCAGAAAATTCAATGATGCAACAACATAAACAGGTAATCAATGTAAATTTTGGAAGGGCACTATTAGCTTTTAAAAGATATCTCAATATCTTTTTATCTTTTCCCCTTCTCATTCTCCAATACATCTCACCTGTAATATAAATTATGTCTGAAAGACATAATTCATTCAGTATAACAGAAACATCATAGTTAATCAATAGCCACCCAGTGAGGAGATGTATTATAGGAAGGCAAAACATCTTCTTAATCCTAAAATGTTAAATTCGATCTTATTTTAATGAGAAGTTAAAGATTCGGTATGCCCGAATCCAACTAGAAAGGAGGGAGATCAGGAGACTAAAAGGGGATCTCCAAGACTTACAAAGCAGTCGGTGTCTTTTGGTCCTGAGCAACCTCCAGCACATTCTCTATGACAGCAGTCACTGACATAGGGTCCATAGCACCTGCCGTCACACTGTTCTGCACACACCGTCCTTGTCACTGCAGAAGGCAGAGATGAGACTTTGATCAAAGTCAGCCACCAAGAGAAACTTCTAAGGTGCTTTGGAGTAGCTGACAAAGGCTGAGCTCTCAGGTAACAACACTCAACCCACCACTGACTCAATTCAGCTAATATGTACCAAATGAAGTCTGCAAAATTACTGTACAAAAACCTTCAAAAATTAATACATACTTTTGTTTTTATCTTCTTTCTTGTTCCAGAAAGCACCTCTCGTATTTTACAAAAATATTGTACAACTTAGCAGGAAAGAATCAAATTTGAAGTAACTGAGTATGGCATTTTGGCAGGGTACAAAAAATGGAGTCAGCAGTGAAATCAATTCACAATGTGCACAGTAAGATTTTATGGCAGAAGGTATCCCCAGAAATAATCCAAGCTTTTTAGTAGTCAAGGGAACATAAACTTTTACATGATTCACATTATATCTTACAAGATTCATATCAAGTAGATATATAAATAACGATACAGATACAGATAACTGGTCAATAGTAGCATAAGTGTTTCTATTGTTGAGATTTAAGTAAAATTTCCACCAAGATTCCTATGTAAGGAACAGTGCAATATCCTCAAAAGAAGTGAGGGAGGAAGGGAAGGAGCAAGGGAGGGAGGGAGGGAGGAAGGAAGGAAGGAAGAGAGGAAGGAAGGGAGGAAGGAAGGAAGGAAGGAAGGAAGGAAGGAAGGAAGGAAGGAAGGGAGGGAGGGAGGGAGGGAGGGAGGGAGGGAGGGAGGAAGGAAGGAAGGAAGGAAGGAAGGAAAGAAAGAAGGAAGGAAGGAAGGAAGGAAGGAAGGAAGGAAGGGGCACATTCATAGTGGACACAACCAAAATTCCCATTGGTCTTTTCTTACAACATCCTTTGATCCAAGCTGACAGCACTGTATCGAGGTATGCTTTAGTAAAATCAGTGCAATAGGCTGGGCATCAAAATTATAGCACTGAGGGACACTTATTTCACTTATTCCAAAGAGATACTTTTTAAGTATTTAGAGAAATAAATGTTACAGAATATATATAGCACATCCCTTCTTGGCTTCCATATTTCCACTTCAATCTGCTTTCCTTTCATCTTTTTAAACAGTTCTTCAAAGCTTCCTTCATTGCTACTGTAGAAAGACTCTGACCTTTAAACAGTAGTATTCCCCCAGTTGGTCTTGACAGCTTTCTTTGGGTTATGGGCTCATGCCTAGATGAAACCATTAATTCCCTACTTTTCACACTACTTATAGATAGATGACATCAGATCCAAATCTGAATTTTCTACTGAGCAGCAGCAAGTATTACCAGGTGCCTACAAAAGACTCATTTAGATACCTCAAGATGTACAATGTGGAATGTACACTTTCTCACCTCCACCAGTTGAGTATATCTGTCTCCTTTGTTCCCTTCTCTTAATTAGTACCATCCATCCAGTAGCTTAGTTAAAAATTTGGGATGTGTTTTCTATTTCTCCTTTGCCCTCACTCTCACTTCGCGTACCTAACAAAATTATCAAATAAAATTGCTAACTAACAGTCCTCATTACTGTCCCTCCTCTCTATTCCAACTTTTTCAAAAACGTATATCTAAATTATTACATAGCCTTCTAAAAGGTTTCTCGGATCCCAATTAATCCTCTATGCTGCTCGAAAAGCAATGCTTGAAAATACAAGCCACTGCTTATAAATCAGTGTTGTTTCACAAGGTAAAACTTGTCATCCCTGTACTAAAGGAGGAAACCCATAGCAAGGGATAAAAGTGCTTCATCAACTAAACACCACCCCTATCTATACTGGTGTCTCTCACTGTGCTTTTCACATCCATCCATACACAAACACCACTTGTGATTCCTGATTTCTTGCATCGTTTGCAATTTTGATTCTCATTGCCTTTTTATAATGCTCTCATCCATGCTAAAAACCCTTCTTGTCTTCTTATCCTGGAAAATATTCATCTATAAGATTATATTCAGATGCCATTTTCTCTCTGAAAACTCCAGATACATCGCTAGGATGAGTTATTTTATCACTGTTTCTTCTGAACAAGGAAGAAAGTTAATGCAGACTGTGTGGTCTGAAGGACTACGCCCAAATCCTAACTCTATTCTTGTGATATGAACAAGTTACTGAATATCTTTGTATTTCATTTTGCTGGTTTTAAGATGGATTTAGTAATCATATGTGCCTAATGGGATTGAAGATAAATAGAGACATAGGTATAAAGTGCTTCACATGGCCCCTGTTAATAGTTCTCAGGTTAGATATTATTATTGTACTTTACATTGTATCTTTTTTTTTTTTAGGTTTGTTCCCTCTACTAAACTATTAGAGTAATTTTTTGAAGTCTATTGTCTTATTATTGATGTTTTTCTCCTTAGGGACTGGTACAGTGCTTGACACTTCCTATACAAGAAAGTAAGTATCCTTTCCAACTAAATAAATCATATATTGCCAACTCAGTGAAAGCATTTGGGTACTGCTTAATGGACATATCAAAGGAAAAGAAAAACATGCAGAGAACTAAAGAGGTAGGGTACTAAACCCTGTAAATAGACAATATTAAAATACCCAGAAACACAGCATATCAAAATGCAAATAACTGAATTATTGCTAATTCATACATTAGACTTAAATGCTCCTTAAATTTTGTTATTATTTCATGATTCTACATTTTCACTTGGACCCTGTTTATTTGAACATGATTATGATATTCATAAAATAATATATAATATTTAAGTATGAACTATATTCCTTTTTTGGACTTGATTATATTCTTACCTAGGTAGTAAAAGCAATACAAACATTAAATAGTTTAAACTGAAACATTTGGATTAATTCCCTGTCTTGCTTTTATTTTGTAAAAATAGAGTTATCTGATATAGAGGATTTTGAAAGACAGATTTTTAAGTCTGGATTTGTGACAGCGTATTTTGTATTTGCAGCTTGGGTCACATTAAATTTTGAAATAAATTATTTCTTTTGTAAGTATTCCAATAGAAAGTTCTACATAGTAAATCGATTTGTCCTATTCTTTTACCTTCCTTTGCTCAAATCTCATTCTTTCAGTGAAGTCTACCCCTATTTAATACTGAATCCGTTTCAAATTACTGATTCCTGATGGATGCTACTCTTTTTTTCTCTTTCTTTCTATTTCTCTCTTTCTCTCCCTCTCTTCTCTCTTTCTTTGCCTCCTTCCTTACATCTTTCCTTCCTTCTTTCATCTTTGTTATAGCATTGATCACCACCTAACATATTTTACAACTCATTTATTACATATTTTGTTGGTGTTTTCCAATGTTTAGAACTGTACCTGTCATGCATGTAATTGTTATTTATATTTCATATACATTATACATACACAATACATATACATATACATATACACTACATATATGAAATATGCCCAAATAAATTATATCTACTCATTAATTCTTCATATTCATACATTGGACTTATGTTGATGTTCCTATCTTTTATCCAAGTAGTATATTTATTTAGATATTCTAATTATACCATATAAAGAAAATACTTTTAATAGAGATTTTGTAAAAAATAAATTCTCATATAATTCCTCTCTTCCAGATTTAACAAGGCCTTTTTGAATGTACCAAAGTTGTTAACTGAAATAGCAGACATATGTTAAGTAAACAAATTATTAGATTTAAAATAGGTATTATCCCAGTATAGTCTATTAACTTGCTTTAACTTGACAGGCATTGCTCAGCTGGAAATAGCACAAAATGAGTCAGCATTAATAGCATATAAATCACACCATATTTTAACCTTAAACACATATGACTGTTAATTTCTATTTTTAACTCTATGGTGGTTTAAGGTAAGTATGCAAAATGTTTCAGTTCTCTTTGTTTATATATTTTGGTCTTTCCTGTCAATTGAGAAAATTAATGTAGATAATGTTTATAAAGATAATTAACTATTAATTTATTTTAAAATTATATATAAAATGTTCCTATTGAGTTCAATTCTCTTATTGAGTATACTATTTAAGTATGAAAATAATATTTTAAAATCTAATCTATCATACTTCTATCTTAAGTTCAATAATAATTATTATGTTCTGAAATTAAAAAAAATTAACATTTATTCTTTTTTGAGAGACAGAAAGAAACAGAGCATGAGTGGGGGAGGGGCAGAGAGAGAGGGAGTAACAGAATCCAAAGCAGGCTCCAGGCTCTGAGCTGTCAGCACACAGCTCGAAGCAGGTCTTGAGCTCACATACCGTGAGACCATGACCTGAGCCAAAGTTAGGTGCCCAACTGATGGAGCCACCCAGGTGCCCCTATGCTCTGAAAATTTTAAAGCATGTAGATGAAATTATTCATTCATACGTGTTGAGTCAACTTTAAATTGTTCAAAATAGCAATTTTATCTATCAAGTGTTCACATAACTCATACTTTTTTCAGGACACTTTGATCTTAGATACACCATTCCATTTCAAGAACCTGCAAAGAAACATCTCTCTAAGTCATTACTTTTGAAACTTTTGACTTAAGATATTAAAAAGAGAATTATGGGTTTTGCTTCAGAAGCAGTCTATAATTCATTTTAAAAATAAAAAGAAGTATGATATATTCAACAGTAAATAGCACTTCTTGCTATCCCAGTGTTCATATGCCTTAATTCCATTTGAAAGTTCAGTAAGTATGAAATATATTTAGAAGTGTTTGCTTGATAGGTAAAAATATAAGTAAGCAAAAAGAACAAAACAACAAGGTTAATCTCTAAACAGTGATGTGACACAGTTAAGAAACATTTTTTTCACATTGTTATATGAGATTTATTTTTAGAAAGAAAACATTCCCTTTGTATAATCTATTTAATGGCATTTATTGATTAATAATACTACTTAATATGAATTAAACACATCAAACTCTGCTCATATTTTATTATGATGGAAACACAAAACAAAACAACAGTCCCTGAAATCAATGAGATAACTCACTTAGTCTCCATGGGAACATTGAGTTATAATTGCTTTCGTTA